CAAGAACATGTCACAGGAGGAGTATAGTAGTTTTTATATTTCCGTCTTATCGAATTTTTTTTCTTAAATTGATACCTTAATTAAGTGATAATAATTGTAGCTATTATAAATTGTATAGTGGGTTAGGAACCTTCCCGTATTATGCGCAAGTCTGTCTTTTCTCATCAACTAGTTCATGTTTACACCTTTTGACATTTTAACTATCCACAGTCTGCAAAATATCTTACATTTGTATCAACTACGTCACTATTTTTACAATGTTTTTATAAGTTCATATAAACTATGCGCTATTGCTATGTCGTTAAAATAATAAAATTTAATTAAGTCATAAAATTTTATTATGAGAACTTTTTCAAAGGCAGGTTGATTTTATTACTAATTTTATTTAACATACCTGAAGGGAATATTCACGAAATCAATGTTTTAGTTTTACAATATAAATTCACTTGAAATAAATAGAACATATGGTACAATTGTCACACAAAACATATAAGAGAGAAACAAAGACAATAGTTTTTATTCTTTCTAGTATGTAACTACTTGAGTCTACTTTACCATAAAAAGTAAATATCCAAAGCGCCTTCATATACCATATATCTGTAGAGAACGAAATAAATCAAAAATCTAATACTCACAATAAGAGTAACGTTGCATTTAATCCGACACAAGTTTCACTTAAAACAACACAGGAATACGAGAACGATTACTTATAATACAAGTTCGACCACAGCTTTCTTAACCACAAAGTTTTCACTTATTAACAAAACATCTGGAAATCCCTCCAGGCCGCCAGTATCTTACAGATCGCAATTTCGACTGGCTAAAATTAACCTTTGTTGATTGGATTGCAGTAGGGATGGCAAAGTTGGCACTGACTATTTTTTGTTCATAAAATTTTTCAATTAGTCAATAGTAAACATATTTCATGACTTTATTGAAAAGTGAATCATATAGTCGGAGAAATTATTAATTTAAGGGCGTCGGGTAGTAAAAAAAGGTTAATGTTTACATATTATACGATATAACTACTTAATTAATTTTCTATGATTTTGTTTAATTGTAATATATATTGTGAATTAATGTCTAAGATCCCGAATCTTACACATTAATCTAAATAGTACTATTAAAACTAATTAAAAGACGCTGGCAGCATTTACTCGCTGTATTACGATACTCATTCGTTGAATAAGTATAATAAGAATTTGTAGTTAATTGAATATGTTATATGTAATAAATGAATCAATTGGAACTTCTAAAATTCAAGTTTTATTGGTTTGAAATACGTTATTAATATTTTAAATTTCCTATGCGTTTAACATGCAACTTAAACTGAAGTAAATGAGACCATCATTACCGTAGAACTTTATTTTTACACAGAACTTCTAGTTAGATGTCTTTGAAGTAACGTACAGTAACTATGTCTGCTGAATGCCGTCAATCTTTGTGTTACATCGCTCATGACTCGATAGAGCAGCTGTTTTTTTAATCAAGTGGCATGCGGAAATGTGCCCGAAATATTTTGATGCAGATAATAATGCAATCTTCAATACTATTATATAGGGTAGGTATATATTTGTGCCTATCACCTAAATATTTAGTTTTTTATAAATACAAGCTGTTTCGCGCCAAATTAGATTTTTGACGCAGACTTGTATAAATAATAATAATATTTAACTGCGGCTAATTATAGCAATTTCTCTAAATGCCGATAACGTTTTTCTCTGACAAATCATTAGAATGTTATTGGTGTTGTAATTAATTAATAAGAACGCAGGGGCGCGATTTTTAGATATTTCATGGGACATTCAGTTAATATCCGGCAAATAATTAATATTTGACTAAATGTCAATTCGAATCATCCAGATCGATCCATGGACGGAGGAGCTATGCTTGAACAAGCACGTCGAAGTGAAAATCTTTGGTGTTTCTAATTTCGATTTTCAACAAAACCATAGTTTTAGTACCTTAAATGTGTAAAGTTTATGACAGGCAAACGGGATGGAATGTTTATCATATGAAGGTGGTATCTTTCGCCTTAAAGGTAAAGCTCTTTCTCAAAACTGCCAACTTTATTGTGAGTCAGTAAAATATTTGAGTAACAAGTGATATAGTACATATTATGTTATCGCAAATTGTTTGAAACAGTGAATGAAATAAATCATCGGTAACACATTGATCGAACACGGAAATGCAATTTAAAAGGTTGCAAACACACTTCCTTTTATTACATATCTCGATTGATTTTATGTTTATCAATAAGAGCTTTCTGACTTAACGAGGCCAAGTACTAATACTTTTAAAACACTATTTTAAGACGCATTCAAGGATTGGATGGAGGAGCCAGGATAAAGCAAAATTCTTGTCAGAATTATGTAGTCTATGAAACTACCACGAAATGTTATAGTTTTGTATGTATCTTAATTCTTAAGACGTAAGTAGTAAGTCAAAATAAGTTCTGGGTAAGAAGTTTAGATGAAATATCTAGCTTTCACCTTTCTCCCAGTGGCAATGCAAAACCAGTGGCGCTACGTGGTTGTACCGTTGCAGCCTTAGATTTCTGTATCTGACCGTGAGTATTTTTTCGTAATATGAATGTACGTGATCAGCCTTCTGTACTTGAGATATGACATTGATTTTTAGATCGATTTTTGTGTCTCAGGTATGCCGGTTTCCTCACTTTACCGTAAGAACGAGTGCTACTTGCGCAATGCGCACATCGAAATAAAAGTTCATTTGACAGCCATGATTCCAAGGCATGGCCTCAGATTTAGAAGCGCACGCTCAGGCCATAAGGCCAACACAAAATAGCCCTAGCTGGTCCTGAGATTGTTCAAAGAAAATTTTATGCAAAAGCTAGCGACACAGCTATGGTAGAGCCACAGATAGGTAAGGGTAAACATTTAATTTGTCTATCATTTAGAGATTTTTAATCGTTTAGGTTTATGGATCAGTGTAGAAAATCTATCAACTAGTTGTGTGTAGCGCGATATACAAGAATATCAAAATAATGCACAAATTTAACGATCAAAGTAAAATAAACAAAACCAACTTTTATAACGAAACCATCGTTTTTTATTATGACAGCACATACCTATTATAATAATATATCTCTAGTTGTAAAGTCATTATCATCATCAATGGCTATACAGCCCCTTGTGGTCCTTGGCCTCCTCAAGTATATTTCACTATCGTCCAACTTCGAAGCCTTGATTTTGTTTTTTTGAAGTTTCGAGGTCCTTGATTTGATTGATTGACTGCGTTGGTGGGACCTCCATCCCAACAACGCAGTCGGTCTGGCGGATTTTCTCTTGCCACCACCTTTGTGAGTTCAGTAAGGACCTTGGGGTTCTGTCGTCCGCCATTCGGTACACATGTCCCAACCACTTGAGCCTGTTGCATTTTATGAATTGGACGGTGATGGCGTCGTCGTCCAAGTAGTATTAGGTAAATAAATTAAAGAGCTAAGGGAACTTCGTTATTACTAAATATCAAACTACAAGTGACCCATTTATAATAAATAATGATGTTCCTACTATTTTGTTAAGTAGATATTTGTATTAGGATAAAGGGTAGATAAGGATAAATATATATATAGTAGATAAAGATATAAGGATAAATAAAATAGAAATTAAATATAATCATAATCATTTATTACTAAAAGCATTAAATAGGGTGACAATAAACTCTATTAATAATAACAAAAGATATTTTCTCAAATTTTTGGCATCACAGTACATTCAGAATAATTATTAATCAATTCTTTGTTAGGTACTTTAATTTACATAAAATTCTAAACACACAAATTACACTATAAGACACAATAATTTCACCTCAATAAGCCGGTTCCTATTTTATTCTAACGAGTGTCCCATTGGATTTTCTCGTTTATGAATCAATTTACGGACTGTTAAACGTTAGATATAAATAGGAAACGTGCACCATAAAAATTATAGGTTTTAAACCTGTGATGATTTATAATAAGTCAAATTTAATTTATAAACATTCGAACATAGAAAAACTTTTTAGTAAACGTGACAATTTTTACAATATTTTTTTTAATTCTCATTGAGGGGAAACGAAGTATTTATTTTGTCTCTACTCATAGTTAGTATAAAATAGTTTAGTACCCCGGAAAACAGAATCAAATTCTCATTTTTTTTGTCTTCATTCCTACATACCACTATAAACTACCAAAGATGGAATATATGAGTGGGTCGTTCTATCGTTATATTCTATTAATATATTTGTTTAGTTTGTTTACAAGATCTGTAACCCTACTAGCACGAATATTACAATTTTGTTCATACAATTTGTGTTACACGAATTCAGTTGACTATTCCTTACTTTCATTAGTTCTTCTAATACACTTAAGTTGTCTATGAAATAATTGAATTTTGCCAATTATACAAATTACGTATCGTATGTACTACGATTTTATTATTTAACGCTCTATGAATATTTAAGATTATCTTTGATGATCACCACTTTGTACCACATTAATACGTATTACTCAACTTATAAACAAAGCATATTAACGTATACTACGCTTGTGCTACAATAAAATAGCTTTGTGATTTTCGTATGTGATAAATGATAAGATATTGTAAAGTATAATAGACCATATTATATTTTAGAAGTTTCGAACAACATAGCTTTATATCACACTCTAGAAACGTCTAGTTATTTCTATGGAATACATAACTTAACAAATGAAAATCCTTAATTTATTTAAATAATAATTTAATACAGCTGCAATTTATTTTCGTTCTCTAAGTATAACTAAATCTAGATTATAACCGTAGTAGCAAAATTAAAATATAAAATTAAATGTATTTACAAAAATTAAAGATTTCTATTACTATTATAATTTTATGGGGGCATAGCACTGAATTACATTAAATATTTCGATTATACAGCCCCTTACTCGTTTTAATATTGGAAGATTTAATTAAATATTAATAGCTAGGTGGATTTTATCAACTGATTACGATCACCGTTGCTCAGTGGTTGCGACGCAGTTTTGAGAAAAACCTGAAAAATTGTAATCAAATTAAGAAATAATCTTGATGAAATTTTTTATTTAGAAATTATAAGTAAAAAATGTTTGCAGTTATGCAAAATAGTACTTTCATTCTCGCAAACTGTTTTATAATACTTACCAAAAATCTGTAATAAATTGTATTAAACAATAGCAATACTTGAGGGAAAATGCGCAAACCAACTTACCGAAGCGAGTGCAATGCAGTGAAAATGTGGCATCCTTGACATCGCGAAAGTGAGATTGACATTTGTGACACAAGACGGATTTACAAACGTCACTCTATTGGCCAGTAGCATTGACAAGGCATATAGTTTATCGTTGATTCATAATTTAAGAGTTAAATTATTAAAGAATAGCCAAGTATGTGACGTTAGTAAACAATATGGTGACGTGACACAATGTGTTTGTGAGTGTATCTGTGTTTGTGAAATTGAAGAATTTTTACCTGTAATCATACCTTAGGCATAGTAATTGCAGTGGGTATGCTATTAAAATAAAAACATCAATATACACTTATTAAAAGCATTATTGCATCGCAAATTAAGAATCTAGGCTAGAAAAACAACATAAAAAGATTTCTTAATATTTATTCTGAAATATTTTAGCACATTTTGTGACATTTAATATACATACATCTATCAAGAGAAGGTCAAAATACGGTATAAAAAATAAATAACCTAGCAGATCTAGACAAAAGCTATAGCTACATCCATACACATCACTTTCCACTAAGTTAAAGTGTCAAAGTGAAAATACACAATTCCTGATTAAATACTGTACAAGCAACGTAGACTTTTTTAAAAAAGAACGCAGATAAAGTAAAATAAATTACGCAACGTAAAATCTCTATTAAAAATATTGCAAAGTAAATAATATTTGTCAATATAAATTAATTATAAATTGAATAAAATTCGTCAATTGATTAAACAATGCAGGCAAGATAAAAGACATGATTTTAAAGATTTGTATAAATTAATAAAATTTTAAAGTATTAAACGTGAAAATACGATTTCTTTGAAATCGTCGATCTTGACATTGGTTGTACTTGTTTGTACATTCGAAATGGCTTAATAAGAATCTCCTTAATAATAGAAAACGATAAAATATATTAAATAAATACAAACTCTAAGAGTCGTCAGTGCACTATGTCTATTTTGTGACTCAAGTATATTTATAGTAATATTCCAAACTCGATTTTTATTAATTTAAAGAGAATATTTAATGAAATCCAATAGAATTTTAAAATGTCTAACACAATCTCAAGTGCCACAAAATTGACATAAAATCACGATACATTTGTTTTAACAACTTATTACACTCGTAAGATAAAACAAGCGTATCGTATAAAATAACAACAATAAATATTACAACTAAGTTATAATCATACATTCGTTCGGTGGCCCTCGGTCGATCGTAGCTTATTTCTTCTTTTTCTTGAGCTTCGGTATTCTGCAAGGCGGTGCATGTGTTAGCAGGCAATGTGTATCACAGATTACAATACAATTCTCGAAATAACATCTGTTACAGTTCAGTGAACTGGTTTAAAGAATTTGTATTATTGTCGCCAAAAGACGACCGGAAATAACATTGCGTATAAAATGACGCGCAAACGCATTTAAAGGAACTTTTTAAAGTTTAATATACTTAACGCGCTTGAAATAGAGTTCATTTTATTTTACAAGAATGAACTATCAAATATTACAAGTACGTATGCATCTTTTAATTAAACGTAAAAAAGTAAGTGTTATATTATTTATAACAAATAATAGATCTAAAATGTTTCGGGAATTGTATTTTAATAAAATAATGCAATAATAGATTTCCACGTATATATGAAATCATGTGAATTAGTTGTGCCTTCATTAATTAATGCTATAATATACATTTAATGGTTTTCATAAAATTGATTTCATATAAAAATAAACTTACCCTGAGGTCTTTTTGTGTGGCGAAGACTGTGATTTTTCCGAAGCAAGTAATTTTTTACTTGAATCTTTCATGAAACCTGTAGAAAATATTTATATATTTTACCAAACAGTTGTAAAAACATGTAAAACTTTTCATATTTTACACGTACATACCTTTACCAGACATTCCAAAGACGGAGTTGCCCAAGTCATTAAGATTACTCGCGAATTTATCCGCTTCCGAAGTCACACTCTCTGCTACATTAGCCCCAGTAGCTTTGACCTCTTCCACAACTATATTTTCAGCCTTGTCTAGCCTTTGTCCAGCCTCATCTATTCTATCATTCGCCGCACCTGTAGCATCCTCTAATTTATTACCCGCCGTGACAGTAAAACCTTCAAAAGAATCTTTAGCAGACCCGAATAGCTCTTTAGAAGTCTCTTCAGCTTTTCGAGCGGATATTTGTACGTCGCCAATAACTTCCCGAGTGGAATCATCCAAACTGTCAAACGTGTTTCCAGCTGAGCTTTGCAAACTGTGTAACGTGTCTTGTGCGGAACTTTCTAATCCATGGAAATCGTCCTTTATATCTGCATACGTATCCCGCGTGCTGCTCTGAAGATCTTCCCATGTGTCTGTGGCGTCGGTTACTTTGTCCTTTGCTGCGGCTTCGATCATATCGAAAGCGCCCAAGGACGAGTCTTTAACGTAATCGAACGCTTGTTCCGCTGATTCTTTCACTTCATCTGCCTTAGAATGTGCTGTTTGCTTAACTTCATCTATGTGGCTTTTGCCAGAATCTTTTATTTCAGTAACTTCATTGATAAAATTAGCTTCAATTTCCGATTTTTTGTTTGTAACCGCATTTAACGTTTCTTCAGCTGTTCGTTTAATATCCTCTGTTGTATTTTCCGCCTCTTTACGTATCCTATCCATATGCTCGGTTGCCGCGTTTTGTACAAAGGCCTCGGTGTCTCGTAAATCACCTTTCTTTTTTTGAACTACCTGTTCTACCACTGCCTTAGTATTAGTAAGGGCTTCCGTGGCTGCATGTGTTTTATCTTGGATAGCCGTTGTGAATTCATCTTCTTTAATTTTTACGCTCTTAACTATCTCATCACTTTTTGATTGTGCGTTATTTATAGCCTTTTCTCTTTCCTCGTTTATATTTTGAACAATTTGACTAGTTGTGTTATGCAAATCTTTCATTGCATGATCTGTTGCTTCTTCTGTATTCTGTAATAAATTATTTTTTGTACTTTGAATATTTTCTATTAGATTATTTTCGCTTAGCGTGAGATCCTCTTTTTTCAGTTGAATTACATCCAACATATCACTAGTTTTATCCTCTACAAAGTGGACTACTTTTTCTTGTGTTTCCTTAATTTTTACAGCTTTTTCTTCAGCTTGGCCTTGAACATTTTTAATTAATTCCTCAGCTTGGTTATGAGCATTTTTGGTAACTTGTTCTTTTTTGCTTTCAATTTCCTTAATAGCATTGTTTGCAGTTTCTTGTACACAGTGTATTGCGTTATTCTTAACGTTTTCTAATTCTTGACTGACTTCGTTCTTCTTTTCTTCAACATTATCTAACAATGGTGTCATCTGATTTTTCGCATCTTGAACCATTTTATCTTTAGAATTTGTAGCATCGTTTACAACCTCCTGTACAGTTACAGCTACGGCACTTTTTGTATCTTGAACTATATCCTTGAGTTCCTCAGTTTTATTTTCGATCTTTTCAATCAAGTCATTACCATTGTTTATTATCTCTACTTGACGACTATTAATAATTTGAGTTTCATTGTTAAGAAAATCTGTACACTGTTCTTGTTTCTTGGCCACTGTCTCCTCAGCGTCTTCTTTCATCTGAGAAGCTTGTTTCGATAACTTAGTAGCAGATTTTTTAGCTTCGGAAACCTTTGCTTTCACATCTTCTTCAACTTTATCTTTTTCACCAAAGATGTTATGGACGAGACCAGTAAAGAAATTCTTTCCCTCTTTTGATTTTTTCTTACCTTCGGCTTTGGCGTTTTCTTTGGCTTCCTTAGCCTTACTTTTCACGATTTCGGCGCCTTTTTCAGTCTTATCTTTAGCCGAATCAATCGTATCCCCTAAGTCACTTAATTTCTCGTTGGTAGCATTTTTAATATCTTCAATCTTGTTTTTAGTTCCTTTTTTAAAGCTATTTGTCTTTTTATCCATATTTTCTTTTAAGTCGGTTATATTTTCTTTTGTAGCATCTTTAGCACTTTCGGCTTTGTCTTTAATATTATTTTTCAGATCTTCAGTTTTTTGGCTTATGTCATTCTTAACATCATGTGCCGTTTCTTTTATTTTATTTACGCTTTCTTGTGCTTTATCTTTGAGAGAAATTTCATTATCGTGCTTTTTCTGATTGATATCTTCTAGGTGTTTAGATGCTTCTAGTTGTTCGGCAGCTAAGAAATCCATTACAAAAGTTTTGTGATCAGATTTTGCAGGGCTTGCTTGATTTAGAATGTTATTAACAATATCTTGAGCTGCTGTCTGAATATTTTCAACCTCAGCCTTTGCTTTAGTTCTTACTTCAGTGTTTAAGTTATCGAAATCAGATTTTGTTTTTAGAGATTCTTCTGAAATATAATCAACTTTTCCTGAAAGGGAATTTCCTAATTGGTTAACTCCATTCTGAACATTGTTCTTTAAAGTTTCTTCAACAATTACAAGATCATTTTTATAGTTTTGAATATTTTTCTTAGCATTTTCACTAATTTGTGATGCATCATTCCTTAAGTTATCTTTTTCTGTGTCAAGTTTATCTAAAACATCTTTAGATTCATTATCAGCCCGATCTGCTATTTCTTGAATAGTTTCGTGAACGGTAAAGTTAACTTGTTCTATCCTGTCTGCTAAATTTGGGGTTTCATCATGGCGATGTTTTTCCCCATGCTTGTACGTACCCTCGCAGCAACCAGTGTAGAATTGGAATGGATCAGATTTTTGACAGTGCAATGGCGTCTCCACAGGTTGCATATGCTCATACTGATGGTACATATCTTCAGTTTTTTCCTTGAGGCTTGGTTGATCTTCATCAACAATTAATTTTGTCAAGTACACTCGATTGTTCGCATCGTCATCTATCTTTACATGTGGTTTTACTTTAAGATCTTTGAACATATCATCAACTTTTTCTAACAGGTCCTCGTTTATAATTCTTGGTGCGGGTTTTGGCGGCGATTTGTCTTTAGACTCGCGAGGCTTAGGCTGCGGCTTAGGCGAAGATTCTTTACTATCTTCTTTTTCTTCACTACCTCCAAACACGTTCTTCACTTTGCCAGCCAGGCCACCAAAGAAACCACCATCTTGTTTCTTTTTACCTTTCTCCAGCGTGTTCATAGGTGTCTTATCTTCGTCAGAATCAAATGTTGCTTTAACCTTGTTGGAGTCAACATGTACTGAATCACCGTTGACTGAAACATTTAAATGGTGATAAATATTTGATATTAGAATCGAAAACATTTCTTTAAAATATAAATTTACCTTGTGGTTTAGGCTTCACATCATCAGTATCCTTGGAAGGCAATTTCACATTACCATTTGCAATGGTTTTGTCCTAGAAAATGAAGGTTTTTAATGCATTTGATGAGGAATGATTGCAAGCTCGTGAACATTACCCATGTTGTATGGTCAATGACTTAGGGGCGGGCATTCTAGTCGATATTTTCTATTACTACAGAGCAAGCATGGTTTGACAATCTAGAAATATAATGGGGTACTAGAGTGTTGAATACTGGCATAACCCTTGCATATATAATAATGTATGTATGTATATATGGAGACTCACGTGTCCGTTGAGTTTTGGAGAAGTTTCATGATGAGTAGGAAGAGATGGTGGTCCAATGCTGTGGTTGTGGTCATTCCAGTGGAAGCTCAGTTCGTCTTTTAATGCATCAAAACCTGCAATTAAAAATGTGTCAAGTTATTGTCTGTCTTTCCAACTTCCTTTACAGATTACATGAAAAAATCCAGAATTCACTTTTTCGATGTAAAACCCCCAAGTTAAGTTTATTAAAAAAAGTAAATTACCTGATTGATCAAGGTTCAAATAGTCCATCTGACTCTTAGCGGCACGCGGCGCAATACGTTCGGGTAGTTCCACGTCAAGTACGCACGCTGGTGTCTGTGACTGTTCTCCTTTTGCCACCTGAGTGAGTATGAAATAAGATGAGTTTGAAGCAACATTAATAAAGTTTCTGTAACTAAGTCGTATTTTTCTTGTAACAGTAGTTTGAAATCCCGTGACTGCTCCAAGGAACATACACTCATCATTCCATCAGATCGAGCTTTTTGTTATAAATAAATAAATATATCGCAGCTTTAACGTAACAAACGAGTTTTAACCTTGAGAAATTTGATAAATGGACAATTATAATACTTACTTTAGGCTCGTTCATGAAGTAAATTCTGCCAGAGGGGCTTTCTTCGTGATGCTTCACGCGTACAGTGAATTCTACACGATTGTCTTTGAATGCCTGTAATGTATAGATGAAGAAATAGTATTTTGGAAATATATAACTAAAATTCAATGAGAGTGTTGGCCTAGCGGCTTTAACGTGCGACTCTCATCCCTGAGGTCGTAGTTTCGATCCCCGGCAGGTGCACCAATGGACTTTCTTAGTATGTGCGCATTTAACATTCGTCGAACGGTGAATATAAACATCGTGAGGAAACTGACATGTCTTAGACCCAAAAAGTCGACGGCGTGTGTCAGGCACTGGAGGCTGAACACCTACTTGCCAATAAGATTGAAAAATGACCATGAAACAGATTCAGAAATCTGAGGCCCAGACCTAAAAGTGGTTGTACTGATTTATTTTGTCTAGTATCAAATTGGAGTATGAGTCTAATACGCTAATTACTAAATTTACACTATCTAGCCTAATGTAGTAGTAGATAAAAGTAAATACTATGTAGTCTAACGTAAAACTTCAACTTCGCGAACTTGGATTACGTAGTATGAAAACTGAGTCAATGCGTGAAAGTGTTTTAATCGGAAATATAGTCAAATTCGCTCTTAACTTAAAGGGTAAGCCTACTGTAGAATAACCGTATGGTCTAAGATCCCGCTATACAACGACCTTCACCGAGATGCTTATTTAATGAAACTTATTTTATATATAATTTAATATGTCAATAAATATAATCCATATGGGTTGCCTAGCAAATTTCAGTCCAGAGTATGTTTAATTAATTTAAAAAAAAATATTTTTTTAAACATTTCACCGGTATGATTATTAGATAAATTCTATACCAATCGAACGTATGAAGCCCATAGAATATGCAAACGTTAGGTTGATTTTAATCAATTAATTATTTATGTATATATTTTTTATGTGACACTAAAGTATATATACATCTTTAGTATAAAAGAAGGTTATAGTGATACATATATAATACTACCCTGATTAAAAATATTGATTGAAAAAGTTCAAAAAATTTACTACATGCAAATTATAATTTTTTTTTTTTTATATTAATTAAACATACTCTGGACTGAAATTTGCTAGGCAACCCATATAGATTATATTTATTGACATATTAAATTAAATATAAAATAAGTTTCATTAAATAAGCATCTCGGTGAAGGTCGTTGTATAGCGGGATCTTATACTAGTATTTCAATGGTATAGTAGTACTAAAGTATACCTAGAACTATTATATATATATTATATTATACCTCAAAGGTAAATAATGGTTGGCTGCCGGATTTCGTAACTGGAATGAGGTTGCCAGAAAATTCCAGAAATACTTCTTTACCATCCAAGAATCGGACGGACGTCGAGTGGGCTATCTCTGTGTAATGCTCCTGAAATTTTTAAAATCATTTAACTTTTATGTCAGTTACCATTGTGGCAATAGTATACTCATACATACGAAGTGAGGTGCACTATAAACTAGATATTCATTTGAGTCGAATGTCAGCTGTCAACTGTCAAAACGTAAAATAAATAGTATGTATTTTGTTTTTAAAGAACAAAATTACTAATATAAAATGGGCGGGAGGCTCATCTCGTCCTAAGTTATATTGGCACTTACACTGCTAGAAGGTTCGCAAGTGCGTTGCCGGAGTTTTAAGAATTGGTACGCTCTTATTTTGGTTATAAACTACATTGATAAATCATACAATCTATATTTTATATTAAATAAATCTTCTTGTAAGCGATTACACAGTTAAGGCTAGAACGTCAACGATAAATTAACACCGCCTTATAATAAAATAAAAGTTAAAATCAAATAACTTAAAGGTAAAGGAAACAAATAAAAAGATACGTTGGGCTTTCAGTTTCCCTCAATTTTTTTATAACTAGCAAGTTGATTCAAAATTTAATGCCAGTGAATTGAAAATATATTCAAAGACTAGCACAGGACATAAATTTTAATAGAAATGGACAGAATAATGTGTATGTTTAGAATAATATTACAGTAGTAGTCCATATATAATGCTTATAGCTAGAATTTTCTTAATTACCTGTTGCAAAAGTGTTTCATAGGCGTATCTATCGGTAATGTATAGAACCAGCAAGCGTCCCTCAAGCGCATCCAAACGTTTGCCCAAGACCACGATGCGTACTTCAAATGGCACCACCAACATTTGTCTGTAAAATTGTTCATAGTTTTAATCCTATTAACTCGATTTTAACTCACTTTGACCAGTTATTTAGTTAGTCGAATAGAATATACTAGATAAAGTGAATAAGGGAATCTAATCGAACAAAGGAGTTAAGAATACAAAGCAAAATATAAAATTATATACCTGTAAAGTTCTGTAGCCATCTTTGTAGCGTCGCTGACATTTTGACAATTCATGAGCCAGAATCTGTGAAGGATTTGCACCTTTTAGGATAAATAAACAAGATATGCAATAATATAATTTTGAAAAGAAATAATTATTTATTAGTTCTGTCAACTGTTCGTTTTACATTTACAGAACATATCTATAATATGAAAATGAATCGCAAAATGTGTTGGTAAGCGCATAACTCAACAACGCCTGGACCAGTTTGGCCAATTCTTTTTTTATAATATTCCTTGAAGTACGAGGATGGTTCTTACGGAGAGGAAAATTAAAAAAATTGAGTGAAAAAGTCTAAAAACAACACTTTTCTATATTCCCATACATAATATTCGTAATAATACTTAAAAGTCAATTTGAACTTTAATACCATATCATAAAGTTCAAGTGTTAGTGGAGGGGTTCCGGGAAGATAATTTTTTATTTTTTGACGTAATGTATTTGTTGTCTTATCAATTTTCTTTTTTTTATCTTACTAGCTAGACCGGTGTCCCGAATAGCAGAATAAGTATTAAAAAAATAAAGAATCGACTGTTAGGCGGTACGATGTTCGCCAGGCCAGCTAGTAATAGATATATTCAGGTTATTATCCCCATTATATAAAACTATACTAAAATGTGCCAGTCGCATCCCTCATTATAAAACGACTTCAAACATAACGATGACCTAAATGGTATTTTCACTGATCAGCTGTAGCCATTGCATAACGTTTCCTACAAAATATTTATATATACATATAACTATATAATAAAATTACCTGGCAGATACAGTTGTAGTAAAGGAAGCGCAGTCATCTGTGATGGTAAGCGGAGTAGATCCGGTAACGTCTTCCCACACGGCTCTTGCCTGCCCACCCATTATGGAGCATAGGAGTCGAAGATTTGCTGTAGATGGTTTTTCACCTGGCTGGAAAATGGTAATATTCGGTTAAATTTATTATTGGAAATGGAGTAATTAGCTCTATACATAGTATAAGTGCGTACCCTTGTGAACCAATAATTGTGCATAATTTATTTACGGTATACGAAAATATCGTATGTCGTATAATCTTAGACTAGAAAGAAGTGAAAAGTACACCAAAGGCGGGTTACTTTAAAACATAAAAGAAAGGGTTGGACAAATTATAGCGCCACGAGTCAGTCTTTAAAATATTTTGTTACGTTTTTTGGGGTAAACCACTCAAATTACATAGTTTTAACATAAGCATTGATCCGTATCTTTCCATTCGGCGTAAATTTCATTCGAAGGAGAAAATCAAAAGAGTTTTTTAGTTCCGTTTATGTTTGTTTCCTTTCAATTTAGCTTCTTTCCTTCCTTCTTGTAAGACATAGCTAAAAGAGACCGATGCTGTTCTAATTATAATAATAATAATAATAAAAGCCCTTTATTCACTGACCATTTTAACTTACATGCTATTCTTATTTAACAGTAGCATTCTTAGATCTAATTTACATAGCGAAATAATAATTATTTATTAGCAACCACTTTGGTCAGGTTGTCTGTCGACATAGGCCTCCCCCAATCGTTTCCACATCTCTCTATCCTTGGCAGACCTTCTCCATCCTTTAGGCAGATCGTCCTCCCATCTTTTAACTTGACCTCCTCGTTTTATTTTCCCGTTTCTCGGATACCACTCTATTACATCCTTAGTCCATTTTTCTTTGTTAGTCCTCATTATATGTCCAATCCAGTTCCATTTAAGCTTTCTTATTTTTTGTAGCACGTCACTGACGTTTGTTTTTTTTCTTATTTTTGAAGCTGTCCATCGATCTGGTAGTCTTATATTAAGCATTCTAATTACTGCTGTTCTAATTACTTAAGTGTTGAATAAATAATATAGAGGATTTAGAACTCACCTTCTGATCAGCCGGGTGTGGCAGAGGCACAGTGAGTGTAATACTCCTATGGAATTTCCTTCTTCTGGGCTCCACTGTCAGTACTGGAGAAACAGCCGCATGACGGGGTAGGACTCTGCGGGTCACACCACTGTTCGCTCCGTGCGCTTGGAGGCCGACGCGTATACGCTTTGTGAGCGCTTGTGGGGGAATAGCGCTTGGACCTGGGTTGGACCAACAAAACTTTTATTTTTTTTGTACTTATTATAAAATAAACCTTTATACACAATAAGATGTTATTACAATTTTCGATATTTCAAGTAGATAATAGAACAATATTTCTAATATTATGTAAAATAGGTTAAAATACCTACTCGTTACAAGAAAGTTTGGCGTTTTTTTATATTCTAAAGTAACAAGATTTAACAAGTTTACTTCGATTGACATTATCTTTACATAAATATTTTGTATGTACACATAATGTTATTGAAATAAAAATAATTCTACTGAAACAATAAAAAAAAACAGAAATAGTATTTGAGCCATATACACATCGGCAACGTTAGTTGGTTTGGAATTGCAGCATGTTAATATATCAGGGACGTTGATGTAAATGGAACAAGAAGTCACCTGGGGTATATGCGCAGAGGAGACAGTGCCTCCCTCAGGTCCAATGATATGAACCTCTTGCCTGACCCTGGAGACCACAGCCAAGTAGTGAGGGAAGTCACAAGTGATGATACGTGTCACTCTCTCTCCGTTCTCTCCTAATGTCTCTCCACTGTTGCCATGCTCTTGTCTCTCCCTTGTCAATGCCTCCTGGAACAAAAAAAGATGTTTATGTAATTATATAATTCAACAATTGGTATGTAGAAATGTATTGCACGTTTATTTTAGAAAAGGATAAATTTATTAGCCAGCCATGACGTTTCCCTTTTTGGAGTAACTTCCACGATATCGATATAATATATAAAACCCTTTAGAAAAGCCCTGTCTGAGAGATATATTGTTCTGACAGTATAAATTAATGTAAAAGATATATTCAGAAGCATTCCAAATTACTTGAATCATTTATTTATTTTTACCTTAAACAAAAACATACATATAAAATAAAAAAGGGTGCGTGTACTTATGTACGCGCGTAAGAAGTTATACTTCTTTGGCATTATTAAAAATAGTTTTTGATTGCATGCAAATAATTAATTACAATTAAATAATCAAAGACTGGAAAAGGAGTCATTAAAGTCAATAAAGTTCAGTTTACATTTGAAAAATTAATTAAATAAATATTTATTATTATTCTCTTACATTAAACAAATAAAACACTATTTATCTTTAAAACATTTTTATTTCATTATACTATTTATTTTTAAGTGACTCTAATGTCTTCATCAGAATTTCGGTTTGTAATTTTAAATTAATCATTACTTGGTTGTGCATCTACGAGGCTTCTCCAAAACTACTTGCTTTCTGCAACAAATAAGAGAATATTAATTTAAGCTCTGTCCATGCAAAACTTAAAATTTTTTATAATTCATATTATAAATTTTTAACACATTTATATTAATATAATTATATAAATGTGTTAATAATATAATTTGTAGCACATGCTACAGACCTGGATAGCAACTTTCTTTTATTTTATTTAGAGATAGAGATAATTTAAATATAATACCGGTGTCTTCCTTGTAGGTTTCTTTGGAGTTGTTTGGGGATTCTTGTTGTTCAGTTCGACATGATTTTCTTTAACCTTTCTTTAATCCTACAAAATAATGAAATTGTTAAGTTATGTTGTCACTGTTGTGCACACCTTTGTTTGGCTTTTTTAGTATTCAAGTTATGTCAAAACTGATTTATTACCTTGTCATTGTTGGCTTTATTTGCTTTTGGGATATCAATTGTTTCCAAAATGATTTTATTTGTAATATCCTGAAATATATAAATAACATCTATTAATTTAAGTATCATGGTGAGTGGTTCGCACTCAGGTATTAAGGTGTATTATACCCACTGTCCATTATAAGTGGGAATGGGCTCACTTCTGGCAGGACAGAGTTTCGGTACTACAAGTGCAACATGGATGTTTTGAGGTATTACAATATCTCTAACTACCCTGTAGGGGAATAAAGTAATGTTGTAAGCATATGCCTATGCTTGAAAGGTTGAACCTTGAACATCACCATACATCATATTTATAATTAACATTCCTACCTCGACACCATCACAATCAAATTCATTGAAATCTACTTCAAACCATTGTGTCTCGAGAAGGTGATGGTGGCTTTGTTCCACCTCCAGTTTTTGATGTTTCACGGCGATAAGATGACAACTCTTTTTTTGTATTCAATTTAGTGCACTTCCACTGATTCATCAATTGTTTTTTGTCTCTTGTCCTTATATTTGCTAGATTAAATCTGATGTTTTGATTAAATAATGTGGTCATTTTTTTGAGATGCAGGTACTTATTAAAATGTTTACTTCTCTGTTATATCGCTCCAAGCCTTCATTTTCTCCTTATTAGTATTCGTGCTTAAATCTTTGTTCTCAATTATTGATATATAGGGTCGTAGAATATTTCTAAAAAGTTGCTGTAACAAACGCAATAAACAAAAGCAATTAATAATGGTTCATGTTTCAGTTTTAATCAACAATAATACTCGATAATACATACGGATAGTTAACCTCAATTGTATTGAAGCACTCAGGAAGGTTAGCACAGTTTTTTCACAAATATTTTATATTATTTCACAAATATTTTGTATAATGAAAATAACTAGGTATATAATTATTAATTTTAAACAATAATTAAAACTCCTATATTTGTTTAAAAGGTAAATGTCATTGTCAGATGTCAATTGTCATGGTCATTCAAAATTCTTGTTAAGCTGCTAAGCTAGAATATGCGTGAAGTTAGCTTCACGCATATTCTATTTCTTTTTACTTGTAGTTTGTCTTATTCCCATCTCGCTCGCGCACGCTATATCACACTGCCAATTTTGTGTCATAGGTGCGCGCGCAATCGTAAAATTTCACTCTCATCAATTTTTCATAACGCGCCTAAAGAAGTACAACTTCAAAAATAAAAAAGCAGATTACAAAAGTCATAAGGCAATGGGCGGCCTTATCGCTAACAAACGATTTCTTCCAGGCAACCCTAATGTGGAACAATAACAAAGAGTCACCTACAGAGGGTAGAGTTATCTTCGTTAGTACTAATATTTTTCTACGTATATACAAATACTTAAGCTCTCAACACCACTAATCCTTACCTGCACCATAGCATTGTCGTTGTTATGCAAGTAGTGGTCCTGCCATGTTTCTCCCGTGTCTGAGCGAAGGATTACAATTTCTCGTTCGGGACAGGATGCCGTGAATATTGGGACTTCGAGTATAACGGGCCTGAAATAAACAAAGTATTATAAAATAATTGAGATTATCTTCCGAGGGAGATGAACTTAGCTTTACGTACTAAATTATCAAAAGAGATGTAAATTCCTAGTGCACTTTTTGTCCTGATCAACGAGTTTTTGTTTATTTTAGACACAGGAAAAGTATATTTGTTCATTCATTTATTATTGTATTATTAACATACCTATACCGTTCAAATATTGTTTTATTTTTTATTTTAAAGTAATTATATAAAGTATAAAGTGTTATATACATATACCAAGAATTTTGCCAAAAAGTATAGATACACGATTAGTAACTTACGCTAAAAATTTAGCTCCTTGTGGCTGCAGTTCTAGAAGTCTGGAGGCTAAAGCTTCGCCTTCCATAAGTGGTGGGGGAGCCGCCGCTGGTGCTCGCCGTGTCGCTGCTCTGTAAAATTAATGATGTATTTTTATTCCAATCTAACTTAGGTAATAACATATATCGATATAACTAAGCCTGTTCAGATTTCATTTGAATATTGATCAACCCGCACGGATGACGCAGTTGTCTCAATTTTGTATAGCTGACGGTGTGCGATGCATTTTTAGATGACGGTGATACACCGACTCACAAGAATATTGTGAAAGTGTGAATATATGAAAGTAGTATATTGAGTGTTATTTATATACAATAAATCAGATGTTTCATTGTCTTATTCATTCTTCCTCTGAAAGTAGCGGAGGCTCCTTCAAGCCTTTAATTATCGCCTGTTCGATAGCATTGGAAAAATCCCACCATCTTAGACCTATCTGTCTTGTTACAAATATCCCGTTATAATCGTTAGAAGTCGTTAAGTTATTCAAAATAAGTTTACTCGTCAATGGATGCCAGTTACGCTTCCAGAATAAAAAATGGAGAATTTTTTAAACTTATATAAACTACCATTCGCTATATCGATATGCCACCACTCATTGAGTGTATTAATAAACTTCATCGTATTGTGAAAATAAAGGTAATTTTAGAATAGTGTGGACAATTAAATCTCTCAGACGTCTAATATACGAGTAGGTGTATGTATAGCTGGGGGAATAAAGGTTTTTATTGATTTGCCTATAAAATATGTATGGAAAACATTTTATAATCTGTAAGGCTTCTCGAATACGCTATGTATAACAAGATAATACATAATGTAGTTATTTCGATTAAGTCTATATATAAAAGTTCATTCGTTTTCATAAAATAATTAACAAACTCTATTCGACTGACATAAGTGCAATATACTTTAATTCCATTAATCGCCCAATCCTATTATAGAACAAAGAATTCTATTTTCACAATTGAGGTGACACAAGCAGACATAATAATGCAACAAAGACCCAGCTCATAGATGAAAATATGAATGACCCAAAGATGAGGTCACCTGCTGATTTGAGTCTCACATAGATTTAAAAGATTTATGGTCTTGAGTCATCTGTTCTTTCTTATTTTAGAACAGAACGTCACTTACGTATACAATGTCTCTATATGAATAAAATTATTTGAATATTAGTGGTAGATATTCCATTTTTATTTTTTTTTATTTATTCTCGTCTGTCATATTCAAATTTTACAATAGCCAAATTTGTATTGAAGTCACATTGCTATTACAATAACGGGTAATTTTTCCCGCGAAATATTTTTGTCTAGTACTTGCCCACCAGACAAAAATATTCCCTCTGTGCATAAGTCAAGGTGCTATATATATAATATATTGTATAGATGCGTCGAAAGGTATATTGATAGGGTACATGGCGCATTTCCCTTACTGTAGTTTGTAAAATATTTGGAGTCTTAATTAAGTATTATTACGAGAGTATCATACATAAAACCTCCTTTCCAACAACCCGTGTTGTGTAAATCATTAGATTCACGTTTATATCCCTTTAAAATATTTGATATAGAGTAGATAAGCCTATGATAGAACGAAGATAGAAGTCTAAGTAGTGGACTCCGCACATAGAAAATATCACAAAGCCCTTGTATTGAATGAAGGTTACGTTATCATATTGTTTACATTAATAAATTTTTGGCACGAGCTGTTAATCTTATTTATGGCATGATATGAGTCAATGAGTAAGTGTAAGAAAGTACCAAGTGATAGTGAAATTTTAGTATGTTGACAACATTTAAGTCTTATCTTAATACTTTTAAAGCCTCTGATTGGACTGTTTTAATAATTGAATTAATATTCTATTTATCGCCTAAAAACTTTCAAAAAATATTTTAAGTCCGATACAGCCAATGGGTAAGAACGGCACTTTTATGAAGGTAAGTTGTGCTTTCTTGGGAAACGTACCAAATACATATTACTGTATAATGTTTTGCTCAAGAACTATTTTATTCTTCATGAGAGTTATAATGAGAAATAAGAGATGATTTTTGAAAGGATCTTTTTGATAAATTTGCTGTTCATTAAGAAAATCAATTACATCTTGTTGATTCACGTAATAACAGCAAGGTCAAGTCAGCGACGTAACGAACAAACCTTAGCCGGGCAAACAATACGAGTCATATTACATGATTCTAGGGATGTGGATAATCTGTTTTTAAAATAACCCCCGGTGTTAATAATCGTACTACCAGTCGTAATAACGAGTAGTAATAACTACGAGGTGTAGATTTTTCTATATACTTTAATGGCTGTCAACGCGCTCTCTAAGAACGCAACCTTTTAATTTGTTTAATATAACGAATAGCTTTCGACTGATGGTCGAAGATTTGCGATGTCCCGAAATTTAATGGGACGTGAATGCGTCTGTTTTGTCTTTTTTATGGAAAGTAATAACAACTAAAAAAAAATGGTTTCCAGGATCCAGACGAACTTTTACATTATATGCGGTAGCCACTAAGGCATGGCAGCGGTTATATTCATTATTTATATTTTTAAAGAGGTTGACAGCCCTATTGTATAGCTAGCGACCTTCATGTGTACAGATAAGATAATTTCGCGTAGGATACATTTCCCTATTAACCCGCTGTCTACGTCGTAGCGCATTTCATTATAAATCTCTATTAAATAACCTTAAACGAAAATGGCTACGCTATATTTAGAAAATATTGTTTTTTCGTTTTAGTATGCAAATTTGATTATGGACTTTCTTCAAAATAAACTGTTATGTGTGTAGTGTGTACGGCATTTCATACTAAATAGTCAAAAAAATAATGTAAATGCTTATCTTTTTTCCTACAATTTTATCCTAATACATCAGCCTAGGACACGTGTTACGTAATCTAAGTATAAGACATCTATTTAACTGTTAATCTAAATATGATACTCTTAGTATATTTTTCTCGGAAGCTACATTAAGATCTGTATGCAATTCTGTGGGTATTTACCTGCATGTAACTCTGGTGGGTGCTGCACAGGCCGCTGGTGGGACGATAATTCTGACACCACCACGTCGCTTCGCTTTCATGGCGCCGCCCCGAGCATCAACCACGAATGACACCAAGAAACTGAAATTGCCAAATATAATATTGTCTTGTGTAATAGTGTATAACACCATTAGTAATTATTAATAATTACTAAGTTAACACTAAAATTTGTACACACATTTTTTTTTTCTCTATTTTGGAAGTGTTTTATTTTGTATGTATTATGTACTTTATTATATAAATGAAAGTAAATAAACTCTTCAGAGGGGGATAATTCTGCTGGAAATATAAGTTATAATATTGAATTTGGTTATAAAATAATTGCGATAGAACCGGAGAACTTGGGAGAAACAAATCAGTCTGCAAGAACATACTGTATAACATCTCATAGCTTGATATATACTTTTATCACATAAGAACATCAAGTAAATATACATATTATATCAATATTTTAGATGCTGCTGTTTTATATGTGCTTTAAAAACGGTAAACCAGAAAGTTTGGACAAATGCTTGTGCACGTATTTCAAAACGTATCTTCAGTCTTGAAATCTTGTCTTAAGCGCTGTCAAAGTCAAGTAACATAGTTTGATACGACAAAATTTGGTTATTATTCGCCTTTTATTACGCGCCATGGATTGAGGACCAACGGACCAAAGAAGATAGAATGTAAGCTTACCCGATATCAAGGGGCTGTCGTTCAATGGTAGCAACCCTGCTGTCATTGTTGCTTGGCCAGAGGTGTCCATCTGTAACACTATCTTCGAGCGGCTTCGCCCGGTTCAAGGTTCCCGCTTCGCTGTTCATGTAGCGGTATTGTTGCTGCTGTTGTATTGGACACTCCACTTCACCTATTAACATAATTATATATTGGCTTCAAAGGTGGAAACAGTTAAAATACGAATATTTTTTAAATATAGAAAACAAATTTTTCTATCAGATGAAGGTCATTTAAAAGATTACGTTTATAGAAATTGTATAAAGGAAATGTAGGAGCTTTTGTAATGTTAATTAGTGGAAAAATCGACTACTTTAATATTAGTATAAATCATGAGACGCACCTCCTTCGTCTTCTGAATCGCTCATGAATGTATCTTGCATCAACTCGGGTGCAGCTACTCTATATTTTCCTTCCATACCACCTGTAACAACGGAACATAAATTTTAATCATGTACATATCCATAGTATTGTCTTTTATTAACATAACTTTTACACATTTAAAGAAAACACTTTTTTACCGGATTGAAGTTATGTATTATTATAAACTTATAATTATTTTACATAATTATAAAAGCAAAAAACAAAATTATAAACGCTGTAAGGCACGCGAAACGTCGGATTTTTTTTAAATTGTGTGAAATAGTTATAAGTTTATAATAATACATAGCTTCAATCTGGTAAAAAAGTGTTTTCTTTAAATGTACATATCCTATGATTTCGGTTTAGACCTGCTTTTAGGACCTTCTAGTTATAATGAAGACAAAATAAAATTTATTTCTAATTTCTACTTTACGGCAATTTTTTGTCCTTATTTAAAACATGTGCAAACGTGACAAAATATTGTATTTCTCGCTTATGTACTACGTATATTGAATAAACGATTCAAAATATTTCATTTCTTTTTAAATCAATCCATCAATCAATCATGGGAAGTGAATAACAGTTTATATTTCGTTACTTGCATACAAACGTACACAGAAGACGATATAGAAAAGAGACAAGCTATGTTTTACTCTTTCGTGCATACTTGAAATTAATGCAACTTATTTGCATTGTCCTTCGAAACAGTTAAGTTCAATGGAACCAAAATAAGTTAATTAAAATATTATTCAATTCACACCTTGCTTATTATATAAATACATTTCCTTATCCTTAAAAAGCTATTACGGCAAAAAGTTTTCACTTGCTTTGGCTATGACAAAGAATGTATACGCATTACACTTGCGTTACAATTAATTTAATGATGTAATCATTAATCATTATCAATGTCTAATTAATGTAGCGTGCTCCACGATGCAGGCCACGTGTGACTAACGAACAATTATTACGTATAAGATTGACTTACATAACAATGAGGTCATCGTGTAGGCGTTAATTGACTTAAAAATTGACCCTTTGACACATTTTTATCAATTGTGGATGGGCAGTAAATGGATTTCGTGTCATCATTATTTCTTTAGTCACATATTCAAAATTATCCTTTATATCGAAAACCTTAACACCTATTAATGTTTCTAAACGTCCGCTTATACTAGCTGTTGCCCGCGACTTCGTCTGCGCCGGATTAGTATTTCGAGTATCTCATATTAGCGTAGAAAAAATTACTAAGATATTGACTATTAAAAAAAAACTTTTCCATTATACATTGTAAATCTAGCGGTTTTGGCAGCGCACGCCAGAAAAGCTCGCAGATGGTAGATTTTTCCTACTAACTCGATATTTTGGACAATTCACACAATATTAAAAAAACTTTTCCATTACACATTGTAAATGTAGCGGTTTTGGCAGCGCACGCCAGAATAGCTCGCAGATGGTAGATTTTTCCTACTTACTCGATATTTTGGACAAATCACACAATATGTTTATAAATTGTAGCCTATGTGTTATTCTTATGTATAAGCTATATTATTGTAAAGTTTCGATACAATCCATTCAGTAGTTTTTACGTTAAAGAGACTTACTTACTCAGAGAACCCATAAAAACCATCTCGGGTAGTACAAAGACGATCGCATGAAAGAGGTCTTTGATGTTACTTTTGCATTCTACCGGGATTATCGTGATTGATTATTATAGGGCGTCAACAAAGTATGGAAGAGCGAACCTTCTTCTCTCCCCTCCCATGCCAACTCTCAAAAGCAGAACCATACCAAATAAAATTATATAAGAATACTAGCTGCTTCCGCTAACTTCGTTTCTCCTTAATGTAATTTTACTTAGCCTACCTTTTTAGTACATACCAACATGGAACAATTTGCTATGCTACCCCATAGACTGTTCGGTTTTCCGGAATGAAAATTTTTTTGGTTGTTCAGTGTATTTTTCTCTATATATAAATCTCAGAGTTCAAGTTAATAGTTTTTAATATACAAATAAAAAATAAAGGTTCATCGTAGAGGGGTGAAAATTAAGGGTTGTATGTATTTTTGTATTCTTTGTTGTTTTGTCTAAAAAATTAAAATATAGGGGTGGGACCAACCATAACATTAAGTGAGACGAAAAATAGTTGTTGTCCGATTCTCAGACTTACTGAATATGCATAAAAAATTTCATAAGACTCCGAACGAACATTGTAACACGAGAATTTTATATATTAGATTATTTGACTGGTCATACTAACAAATTATATAGCAATATTCGATAATTTAGATATAACTAATTAAGTATCAAAGTGTGCATCTGCAAATCTACTTACAATGCACAAGCGACATAATTATGTCCTCATTACGAAATAGGATGTTTATAAAGGCAGTGGTTTGTCAAAGACTTCTTTGTGATGTGTTTGAGAAGTTTGTTTAACAAAGTGGAACAGGGAAAACAACTGAAAAGGCGATGTTAATTTAAGTTGGGATTTGTAATTTGCATTATAAGAAAGTGTTGTACACAATAATTTATGTATACAGTGTAAAGAGAAATCTAATAATAAGGTTTTTTTTCCAATAGCAGAAACCTACTATTTCAATTTTGAGTATATATACGCTGACTTATTATTAGTATGTATTAGTAAATTGAGCATGGTAAACGTACGTACAATACTTATTTAGTATATTTAATTTTTCAGCTTCGCTTTGAACAATCCTAGTTTCGCGCAAGATTAAGAATGTTCAAACAAATTTTACGTAGGCGAACTCATGTTAAATCTTTTATATCGCTTGAATAAATATTATTTAGTTATTTAATTAACTAAATTATAATTATCGTCGCATTGTATATATTTAAAGCTTTCAACTACAAAAACAAACAAAATTGGCAAAAACATTAATGTAGGTGCAGTCACCCACGTCGTCTTTAAAAATGAATGTCAAGGAAAAATTAACAAGGTCATTACACGTCATCATGAAACTGTCATTTTCCTATCGGAAATAAGCACGCTTCCTAATCATCTCAAAATCAAGTGGGAGCCTAGTTCAATATGACGAATATTTTAGTCTTCGCTAAGGAAATGAGATCTCAATGGACTTTGGAGAAAAAATGGAAAATCGCAATTTCACTTGACAATAAAAATTGCTAACGATCATGTATCTTTACTGATATAAATGAATTTTGTTACTCCTTGAGTTAAATAGTTTCAGATCTTCAGATAAGCTTTGGTTAGAGACCAGGAACACCAGGTCCAAAGTAATCTTATTTTACCTTTTTCCATTAAACAAATTCCAATCAGGCACGCTTACACATAGTTCGCTGCATACGAAATAATGAAAATGTAATTTATTTGCAGTGCATACATTTAATCAAGCAATTTTACATACATTCAATGTATTTACTACGCATTACAAGATATGAATCAGCGTCGAAAATAGATTTCTCTCTGCAATTGATTTGAAAAACCTTGCGATAATTTGTTATAGTTATGGGCTTTATAAGCGATAACATTGAGCTATTCCACATTTAAATACGTACAATGTAATAAGCCAGTTTCTTAGATTCTTCTTAGTTTCTTCTTCGGAATTAACATTTAGGGTAAGAGTCGAGACTTAGCACTAAGTATGAGACCTAGGCTCTTAATTTTACCTTCAGGCTGTGCAAAATAATGTATGTAAGGAAAGGTAATGCATAAATATAAGTATATTGTTAAATGAAGTCAGTTCTAAATCCTATTCATTTACAAGCCGGTTGAGTTTCCAGAAACAGTTTAAATAAATTATTTTAAGAATAATATCTACACTTTATTGTAAGCATTGTTATATTTACGTTGAATTAGTCATTGTTATTTCGGTTTGAATGAATAATTTTGGCGCAATCTCACTAATTATTTGAGCTGCAGTGGATCTGTATAAAACATTTTTTGAATTTTGGGTATACGGTAGGTCTTTGATGGAATTTTATACTAGAACAAGCGTCGCCGGTTTTTTTCTCGCCATTACATTTGACGCATGCGTCTGTCTGTACGAATAGTATCTGGTATCAATGCGGGTGACAAGATCACAAGATTGACATTTTATATCGAACCAATTATAAAGAGACCGAATAACGTTATTTTATTTAAATATCATTACAAATTTAAGATCAATACTGGTATTATTAAATCCTGAAAAAGTACAGAATATATATTTACGAGAGAATAACAGAACTAAAACATTCTTTTTAGTTTTCGTTTGCTAAGGAAACTTATTTAACTTTACAAAAACGTTTAAAAATTCAGTACAGTTTCACATTTACAATTCATTATCAGTTCTCGGTGAAATTAGGTTGGAATAGAGAGTAAGCGAAATTGTAAGTGTCAAGATTTGGGCGTGCTTAATCCATCATACATTCTGCCAAAAATCGGAAAGGGTACCAACAATCATTTGTTTTTGGTTTTTGTTAAGTCTAACAGGGCACAACTATTTTCATTTTGGTGCGAAGTTTGAGTTAAGTCTTTAGTTAGATCATATCCAGTGTGAATTGCGAATTTTAAAATGGACAAAAACATCAAACCCAAAGTTTTTCTTAAATTTGGCATCGTTAATGAAATTTTCATTTTCTTAGGGACAAACAATCAGAAGAGATGGTACTTGCTAGTTTTTCTCGTCCTACGAACAATTGTGGTATTTTCTGATAGCGTAACTTATATTTAGATTAAGGGTTAGATTTAGGATTTTGTTTATTAACAGGTTAAGTTATAATAAGCCAGGCTAAAAAAAACAATTGAATGCAACGTTTTTAACTCATAAAACCCACATGCCTCGCACCAAATTTGTGCTCAATGTTATATGATAACCTGAATTCCCTCAATTTTAAATGGTTATTACATCTTTGAACAAACACCCACATAATGGCTGACATCACCACAGCAGATAGTACTTACTTTGCATTTTAATCCTTTGAAATATGCATAAATGCATACACTTAATGCAGAACTATAAACTTAAACTCATACTCAAAATATCCTTATTCATATAGGTAAACAAGTACACTTATGAACGTCAAAAGAAGTTA